TATCACTGGGGGGGTTCTATTTCCAGGCCCCAGGTTCTGTTCTCCTGACCCGTTAGTGTCTTCTTTCGCCAATACCACCCTGTCTTGCTATTTTATTCCTTTTCTGTCTTCGACTGCTCTGAGAGGTCCTAGTTTTCCACTCGTCGCTCATCTCTTAGGCCGGTGACAGTCGTTGATGGAACGTCTCTGATGGTTTCCACCTGTGAGCCAACTGTCCCTCCCTGGGCCCCGCACACAAGGTGTCCGGGTTTCTGCACAGGTTAAGCCAGTTTGGAGTGCACCCCGGACACGTGGATACCTGCTTGTGAGACTCTGGGCCCTACTGAAACCCCGAATATGGACTTGTGGGTTTATGTAGGCGATCAGATAGGCGAGGTTCATGCTGCCGGTCCCACCTTCTGTGAGCACTGGTCCTAGTATCAGCTGGGTTTTAACTTTTTCCCCACATCATTCACCAGGTCCGTGTCGTGTGGCCACAAGTGGCAAGTGTGAGACCAGAGCAGGTCTACGCCTTAGAGCAATCCTGGAATCTCGTGCGTGCTATTCAGGGTTGCACGCAAACATGCCCCGATCGGGGTGAGCCCAGCGCGTACATACAACCTCACGCACCTGCTCTCCCAAACTCCCTCCTCTGTGCGGTTTCCCAATACTTCTTGGCTCTTAGGGGACCTCCAACCCCCACCTAGCCTTCGGGCAACAAAGTTGGGGCCGCGGCTTGCCACTCAGCCGTGCACCTTCTCTAACTGGTTCTGTCTCCCAACCAGGTGCCAAGACCATAGAAAGAGAAACACAGACACGAAGCGGCACTCCCTCCCCATACCATCCTCGGCCTTAGAGTCTGTACTACCAGCCGGGCTGCTGCCGCCACCAACCTCCTTGTCAGAGTCACTGGGGCCTGGAGTAGAGAACAGAAAACAAACAAGAAAACAAGGGAATTCCCTTTTCCAGGTCACGTTAGGACCCCTACCTCCAGCTCCTGCACCTGCTCAACACGTCCAGGACTGGGGCTGTCTTCGAGCCCAGGCCAGGATACACCAGCTCGGGGTCCTCTGCGTTCCACAATCCACGGGCTGGCATTTACAAAGTCCACAAAAAGCTGCTCCATGCACAGCATCCAGGAATTCCAGCTACATTCAGTGGAGAGGCAAAGCGGAGGATGCTTACTTCCCATCATGCCCAGAACCAGAACCGGGTCTGAGTCAGGACCTCCTACTGTTTCACGGCCCTCCGTGGCCTCCGTTCCCCGTAGTTTATTTGCCCGCTTTCACACGATCGTCGCAGGCACTGCTCTGGTGTGCATCCTTTTGCACCGGTATGAGAGTTGCTTTCCTCTGTGAAGGCAGGAGGGGGTGGGGTCATTGGCGCGTGCCGTCAGAGTGCTCTCTGCAAGGTCCGCACCCGTGCAGCACCCTCGGGACCCACCAGCGCTCTCAGACCCACACACTCTCACCAGCGCCAGGAGGAACCAGCTGGCTAGCGTTTGTCCGTCAGGAAGGCATAAAGCCGAGTCATTTTGTTTAATGTGCGTTTCCCAAATGACTGACGAATGTCTGTATCTTTCCAAACACCTGCTGGCTTTGGGGGTCCCTCCTATGTGAATTCCCGCTTCTATTTGGGGTCTGTCCGGACTGGTCTGTCTGCTCTAGAGAACAGTTTCAGTGGCTGCGAGTCCCCTGGTGCTTTCAGTGGTCTTTTGGCTTTGCCCCCAGCACCCTTCACGGCACAGAGCCCTGCTCCGGGGGCACACACGACCTTCTCTTCTGCGTCAGCTGTCATCTCGTGTTTGCAGGTCTGTGCCGATGTAATTGAGTACATCCACCTCTACCTCGCGGTTTATTCTCCGGCCCTTCATTGTCCACAGGTCCTAAAGAGATTCCCTATTTCACTGTCCCTGCATATTTAGCTCCGGAGCTGTTGGGAGGGAACCAGCTAAGCTTTTCTCCACGAAAAGAGGTTATTTCCAACCCGATCACTGAAATAATTCATCCTTTATGGATATCTGTTCTTAAGCCAACACACACTCTTACTTTATTTTTGCTGTTACTGCTTCCTGGCTGCCAGGACTTTACAGTAGGTCTTAACATTTAGGAGGAGTCCCCAGGGCCTGATACGTCCCGAGGCTGTGTTTTTGGTGCGTCTATGTTTCTGATGGTTGTAGCTCATCCTATCCCTCCCTTTACTACCTGCATCCAGTTTTGCTCATTAGAGAAGTTTCTGCGTCTTGGAGTCTATTCTGCCAGCTAACCAGACTGCCACTGCAGTTCTCACTCACCGATGCTCAGGATGCCGTGCTCCATCCCGGGCTTCCCCAGCTCCTCCAGGCTGACCCGAGCCGGGCGTCAGTGTCTGGGTGTCTGAGCCGGTGCTCATCTCAGCTCCGGGGCTGCCTGCTGGCTGCACCGCGGGCCCAGCTCCTGTGGAGTTAACAGCCTCGCCCTCGGCTGGCTTCCGTGGCGGCGCTGGACCCGAAGTCGGTCCAGGGGCTCTGTGCCTCCCTCCGTACTGGCAACACTGCCTTCTCTTCTGCTCTAACCGGCATGTCTCCGGGTGGGTCTACACTTGCCCACCGCGCTTGAGAGGCGTGCGCTTCCCATTGGCGGACGCGTGCCTCCCAGCAGAACCGGGGCGTCTCTAGGAATTCCCTGTGCAGCTTTCCACTCAGTTCTCCCCCGGGGTCTGATACGGGCTCTCCCACAAAGCCACGGAGATTCAAATGTAGCCGCCGTACTTTCCTAAAACTCCCTTTGATTCTTTTTCAGATCCGCTTGGCCATGTCTGGTAAGTTTTTATCTTTGGTCATTTTCTGGTTGTCTTTTTGTCTCTTCAAATATTTCGTATGTGATCATTTGGTGCAAACTGTACATGTTGATTCCAGTCTCTGAAAATCCCAGGAGCCTGAAACAGCTAGGAGTTTGGTCTCACTCAGGGGCTTCTTTCCTCGTGTCTGCAAACTTTTCTCAGGAGCTCAAATACGGTTTCACTCACCCCATCTGCATGCTGAGGGTGTAAGGGGCAAACTCCCTCCTGTCAGGAGGCTATCTGCTAGCTGCTGCTTGGACCCGGGGGGCAAGGCTGCCTGCAGCCCCTTCCAGAGCCCAGACCAAGCCTATCTGGTCCAGTGCTCCCTCCTCCCTGGCTTGGGGACCGCGGCCCTGGCCCCACCCCGGCCCCCAGCCCAGCCCCCCAGCCCAGCCCCAGCTCGGCTCCCAGCCCGGCTCCACCCCAGCCCCCAGCCCAGCCCCCCAGCCCAGCCCCCAGCCCGGCTCCCAGCCCAGCCCCCCACCCCGGCCCCCAGCCCGGCCCCCCAGCCCCTGGAGTCTCAGTTGCTTCCCACCCACCATTCTCTCTGTCGGCTCAGTTTTGGATACTTTGCTTTTTTGCTTTTTGTTTTTAAGCCTTGAGAGATTTCCCTTACTGTTCTTGAGGACCAGCAATACATTTAATCTATCCAAGATCTACTTGTGTTTTCATGGGAGGCTTCTTTGGAACACTAGTCGGCACGCTGCGGATGTTGGCTGGGTTGTGTCCCCTCAGCAGACCCCAAAGCGCTCTGGAACAAGATACACTCCCTCCCACCTTCCTCATCCGCTCTCTGAGGGCTCACTGGTTCTGGGCTCCTGCAAGGCCACACCCGTCCCCTCCTCTCTGACTGCTTCATAGACTATTCTTTGCTGGGCGCCCTCTTCCATCTAACCGCGAAAAGCCGAAAAGCCGCCGGCATCCTTAAAAGAGTCTGCTTGCTTCTCCCTGACCCCAGCTGCCCTGATGCGCAGACTCCTCCCCACAGCTCGGACTGCTCCTGGCCCCAGGCCCTCCCCCAGGCACAGATGCCCTGGTGCTCCCCACCCTGCCTTCTTGCCCACCCTGCCTTCCGGCCCTGACCACTTGGTACCACTGCCACGCAGGGCTCAGAAGGCAGGGGCACGGCTGTGCCAAGCTCCCAACAGCCACTGTCTGAAGAAGAGCCTCAGCCCCCCCAACTGCTGGGAAAGGCCGTGGGGGGTAGCACAGGCTTCTCTCCTGCTCGACACCCCCATGGGCTCCACGTCTCCAGCAGACGCAGGCCCAGACTCGCAGGCCTCTGCAGCTCCCTAGCCTGCCCCCTGCCCTAGCCTGCCCCTGCCCACTCTTCCAGCTTCTCGCTCGGGCCCCAACCTGTCAGCTGCTGGCTGCAGGGCGGGTCTGGCCTTCGTTCACGCAGCACCTCCTGCCAAGGCAGGCTCCAGCTCAGGGCCTTCCACCCCCCTGACCACTCACTGGCCACGTCCTCCAGGCTGGCCTCCAGTTTCCCCTTCTCCAGAACGTTCCCTCGCTTTCCTGGGTGGAGTCTCTGGGGGACTGACTCCTGGCCTCCAGACAGCTGAAGGGGTGCATCTGCACAAGCAGGCCCACAGCACCTCGGGAGGATGAGAGCTGTGTCCCAGGCATTTTCTTCATTCGTTGGTCGGAGTCACATTCACCAGGCGACTACCACATGTCCAGAACTTTCTGAGCAGCCACGGATGCCGTCCCCAGAACAGCCACAGGGAGCAAGGGGGCCAAAGCACACACTGGAAGCGCCCCTCACCGGGGTCTGCAACAATGCCACTTTGCAATGCCGCTTGGGCACTGCGGAGAGAGAGCGGAACAGGCAGGGAGACGAGCCAGAGCAGGCATCAGGAAGGGGCAGACCAGGTCCCAAGGGTCTCAGGGCCACGGATGGGGCAGGAGGAGAGACTGGGGGGCCTGGATCAGGGCAGGGCACATGGGGAGAGTCCAGACGCTGGGGAGCAGGGATCACTGGCTCTGAAGCACTGGGAGGGCTGGGGGGTGTCAAGGCCGACCCCCAAGGCTCTGGGCTCAGCACCGGCAGGCAGGGTCTTGGCTCATGTGGCCAAAGGACACAGCAGCAGAGTTCCTGAGGACCCCATGCCCTGAGTGTCTGGACAGGAGACCACCTAGCCTCACAGAGGGAGGTGGCAGGAGGGTCCCAGGCAGGGAGAGCCTGGGGACGCCAAAGGGAACTCTGTCACATTTTTAATAGAGAAATAACACAGCATCTGCCAGGAACAAGGGCAGCCTCGGCTGGGGCTCAGTGCCTCACAAACTGGGACAGTTCACTGATGTCTTCCAAAAAGCTGTGGTAGAATCTGCGGCTCACGGAGTCTGGGTCCTGCTTCAGGACCTCCACGTCTGCAGCAGAGATGCCCAGGGTCTGACGCACAGCGCCCCGGGGTGCAGCCCTGTCCCAGGAGCCCATGTGGGGCGGTGGGGGCACAGCCCTGACCCGGGAGCCCATGTGGGGCGGGGGGGGCACAGCCCTGACCCAGGAGCCCATGTGGGGCGGGGGGGGCACAGCCCTGTCCCGGGAGCCCATGTGGGGTGTGGGGGGCACAGCCCTGACCCGGGAGCCCATGTGGGGTGTGGGGGGCACAGCCCTGACCCGGGAGCCCATGTGGGGTGGGGGGCACAGTCCTGTCCTGGAAGGGAGTCTCAAGGACAAAACAATGCCCCGCCCTTGGGACAGGCTGGTTGAGGGACCTTCTTAGGAGTCGGGAGACAAAGAGGTCCCATGTTTTTGGCCCCCGGGGCTCACATTTCCTGAGGATTTTCAGGTCCCCCTTCTTCAGGGAAAAGCAGAGGTCGGTAAAGTATTCCTGCAGAATGCCCCCTGGGTCAGGGAGGGAAGGTGGTGGGTATGGGCGCCTCTGGGGCCCAAGGGAGGCCAGCTTGGCAGGGAAAGGAAGTGAGCACCTGGCTGATGGGACCGGACTGTCCATGCCATGGGGCCAGCGCCACTGCCCCTGCTGGGGCTGCCCCCAGGGCACAGAAGCGTGACCTTTAATGTGGCCGCTCAGGCAGTGGGGGGGAGGGTGGCGGGCACCGCGGTGGAAGGACAGGACCACGGGCCGGCACCTACCGATGAACTTCATGGCCGTGTGCTTCAGGTTTTTGTGCGGGCTGGCTAGGTAAATCAACGCCTGCATGAGAAACTGGTGGTAACTGCCAAAGTTGCTCTCCACCTGGTGGGGGGGAGGGGAGACAAGGGCCCCATGGCTCCTGGGCCTCTGTGACCTGGCTCTGCCCGGGGCCAGCCAGCAATCCCAGGCCTGGAGGGAAGAGGGCCATGACCCCAGTCTGGGTCCAGGCCCCGGAAGCTGGCCCCCTACAGGGGGGAGGGGGAGAGGGGCTGGCAGAGTCCCACCCCACTGTCGGGGTGGGGGCGGGGGGAGGGAGCCTGCGTTGAGGGGTCTGGGACCTTCCACATGGCCACCACCCCCAACACTGTCCCGAATGTCCTCCAGGAAGCCACCCGTGCCGCTCCCACCGGAGCTCCAGCAATGGGCTCAGGGCCGGTCGGAGGCAGGGAGGTCTGCTGGGATCCCCTGCACCAGGACGGGCCGGCCTCACTGCCGGCCTCGCACAGTCCCCCCGGGCACGTGCCGTGGACTCCCCGGGGTGTGTGGCTGCTTTTCCAAACAGGGGAGAGCTGGCCCAGGACGAGGCCGCCCCCAAGGAGGTGGGGCAGGGGATGTGCACAGCCCAGCTGCTCATGCCGGCTGTTCCGTGGCCACGTTTTCTGAGCCTATCCAGGTTTGGAAACCAGTTTGTTTTACCGTCTAAGCAGGCTCAGACGGCTTCTCTGCTGCGTGCCCTCCCCTTGCCTCAGCCGCCAAGGCCGCCGTGTGGCCCGCACGTCCCACAGAGAGCTACCGTGCGCACGCCAGGCCGGCCTTCCCCGAGGGGCGCTAACTCCGGGCCACCCCGGCCGGCCTGGCCATCCCCTCTGGCCCTGCACTGGCCGGACGGACCCTCAGAGCCGCCTTCCTTCCGCAAATGTCACCTGGGACCTCCAGGTCCGGACGAGGCAGCCTGAGGCCCACAGACATCCTCCTTCCAGCCCCAGGACCCGCTGCGACCAGACTCCCCTTCTGGTCACAAACCCACGTGCTGGGAATTTGGTCATCTGCTGGTGACTTTACAAAGACAGCTGCCTTCCTGCTCTGTGTCCGCTTGAGGACCCACCTGCCAAGCTGCTGAGCCCGCTCAGCCAGACTCTGGGCCCTCGTGCCCTTTTCCATTCAGACACCAGGACTTCCTGGAGGCAGCTGATCCCGTGTCTTGGAGAGGAAAAGCCCTAGGAAGGGTCTGGAACATTCTAATGCTCCGGAAAGAAGGATGCCTAAAGAAAGCGTCCAGGGGCAGGGCTCATGAGAGAAAGGACTCAAGCTCAGGACAGGCCAGGGGTGACGGCCGGAGCACTGCAGTGATGCGGCTAACAGTGGGAATACCACCTCCCTGGAGCGAGCGGGGTCTCTCGTGAGCCGCAGGATGGGCTGGACCGCGTCCCCCAAAAAGAGATGCTGAGTCCCAATCCCCAAGACCTCAGAATAGGACCGCACTTGGAGATGGGGCCCCTGGAGGCGATGCCGTTATGGGGTCACCCAGTAGCCATGGAGCAGCTTGGCTGGTGTCCTCGGGAGGAGGGGAGGCGCCCACACAGCGTGCAGGGTGGCAGTGATGCGGCCGGAGCCCAGGGACCCCGGCCTCCAGAGCTGGGAGACAACAGCTGATGGAGTGGTCACCACGGCCGAGGGAATCCCCCCAGGCCGAGCAGGACGGGGCCCCAGCACACCTGCAGGGACACGTGAGGACAGCCGCCATGTGCAGGGCCGGGAGCATTGCAACTGGAGAACACGTCACCCGCGTGTCTCAAGTGGGATGGAATTCCCACACCCATGGATCGGTTGAAGTATCGGGACGGCGGCACGGGAGGACAGGAACGCCAGCCCCAGACACTTAGCGGAAGAGTTCGGGAAAGGCGGGAGTTTTGAAAAGTAAAAGGTAAGTGACAGCGAGTGGCTCAAAGGCAGCAGGTGTGGTGGATGACACGTCACCACGGACGGAGCCCTGCCAGCCCGGGATGACACCCGCTTCCTCCTAGGCAAAACTCCAGAGCTCCTGGAAGGTGTGGACGTGGGAAAATCTGCAAACCCAGGGACGTCTCCTTGGGGAAGAGCAGGAAGGGAGGGCCCCAGAGTGGAAGGCGGCGGGGACCATGTCGCTCCCCCAGCACCTGAGCCGCCCCCGGGACCCCCACGGTCACACCGAGGCCGGTGGTGAAGACTCACTTTCCCCCAGCACCTGAGCCGCCCCGGGGACCCCCACGGTCACACCGAGGCCGGTGGTGAAGACTCACATTCCCCCAGCACCTGAGCCGCCCCCGGGACCCCCACGATCACACTGATGCCGGTGCTGAAGGCTCACACTCGTCTCAAGAAGTCTGTAGCCGACACGCAAATACAGTCACAGAGAAACAGACTTTGTGAAATCCGTGACCGTGATCTAGTAACGTGGATGGTTCAGTGTCCTAACAGACGGACCATTTAACAAATCGGTAAGATTTGGAAAGTAGGTATTAACGTTGCACACACTCTCTACCTCTCTTCAGCAGCTCACGAGACAGAGGTCCCCAGGGCGGACACGGGGGCGTGGAACCAGAGCCAGAAGTCCCCGGCGGGCACCTGCCCCAGCAGACCTGGCATCACACACGCACTGCTGCAGTCTGGACCAAGGAAGGCAGAGGGAAACTGGAAGGGAGTCTGTCTCTCTCGTGGCCTGAGTGAGGAGCAGGAGCCCCGTCCCTGAGGAGTGGCAATGCGGCGCAGAGCCACCTGAGCACCTAGGACAGCTCAGAGCCGCCACGTCAAATCCGTCCCAGGTCCTACTGGTGGGACAGCACGAAGGACTCTGGAATGCGGCGCACAAAGAGAAAGACCACAATCCGAAACGACAGGATACACGAGCTGAAAACCCACCATGGGCCATAGTCGGAAAACACCCGGAGCAAGACTCGATGCTGGAATTCCAGGCAAGCGAGCCCCCGGGTGACAGTTACCTCTGGGGACAACGGGAGCTCATGAGAAGGCAGCCGTCCGCAGGAGGACGGGCGCCAGTAGGGGTGCCGAGGGCAGGTCAGAGGCGGGTGTGGAGAGCGGAGGTGGATGGAAGGCAAGGCAGCCTCTCCCAGGGGTGGCAGCCTGAGAAGGCCAAACGCACCCGACGCAGGAGGCCCCGGTGCCCAGGGCAGCTCGCCTCCTCGCGGCTCCAAGCCTGCCCTCGTTGCGTGCTCTGTAAGCGCGGACCCGGGTCCCCAAGTGTCGTCCACGCCGGGGCGGGGGCGGAGGGCGCCGGGTGACTCGCTGGACGGTGGGGGAGGACGGAGCGGGCGCCCACGCCGGTCCCCCAGGCTCACTCTGCCCGGGGTCCCCCGAGCCCGCTCTGCGCGTGCGCCGTCCCAGGCATCCCAGAGCGCTTGTCGGCAATGAGTCGTGTGCCACGCAGGCTGCTGTGCCCCGAGGGGTGGTGGCCATGGTCTCACGGGGTCTGGCCCTCAGCTCAGGGGCCGGGGGCGTCCTGGGCACTTCTCTCAGCCCCGGGCCGCGGCTCTCTTCTGCCACGGCTGTCCCGGCGGCCCCACGTTCCTTGGAGCTTGCCCGCCTCCCACTTTATGCCAGCATACCCCCGGACGGATCTGGACGGACAGACGCTGAGTCCCCCTCACAGCCGTAAGCATCAAGGTGCAGCAGGCTGCAGGTGCCCACGACCTGCGCTTCAGGTGACTGCTTGGTGCCACGTGGAGCCTCTGCGCGCAGCGGGTCACCAGCACCCCACGTCCCCGGGGCGGGAGCTCGGCACTGCCGAGATGGGGGGGCACAACCAACCTGCCCCCCGACCCCGCTGCAGGTCTCGCTCCTGGCCGCTCCTGGCACCAGCACTGTCCTGCAGCAGCGAGGGGTTTCTTATCCAGACCCAAGCACAAACCACGGGAAAGTCACACGTCTGCCTATGTAAAATTCAGAACTTCTGCCCGACCAGAGACACGGTGAGTGAAGTCAACAAGTCACAAACTGGGCAAAAATACAAATAACTGGCCAAGGACCCACACCTGGAGCGTGCAGACAGTTCATCATTCACACGCATCAAAGCACAAAACCAACGATCCCACACACAGTGGGCAAGGGACTCAGCACGACGGCCCCACCAGGCCCCGCCGGGCCCCCCAGAGAGGCGGCACCCACGGGAGGAACTGCCCTCCGGACCCGAGGAGCCCAGCCTCCCTCTCTCTGGGCACCTCTGCCCCCAGACTGCGGGCCTCCCCCCCTTCTCAGTCTCCCAGCCTTGGCAGGGCCCCTCACACCTCCACCAGATCCAGCATGGGCCAGGTGTGGCAGCCTGCCCACCGCCAAGCTGAAGAAAAGCCTGGGATCGCGGCCCCTGAGCAGCAAGGACGGGTCCCAGCCGGACAGGGGCCGACTCAGAAATAAACTGACTGCTAGAAATCAGAGCTAGGGTTTCTTGCTCAGCCACCTCCTCACAGCCATCCTCAGAAGGGGACATGGGCCCAGCGATGTCTGGGGGGGGTGGGTCCTGAGTTCCGGGAGCTACAGGGCCCTCCTCATGTCTGCACTGGGGGCATCAGTGGGGGCCATGCCCCCGAAGTTCTCCTCAACCGCAGCCGTGGGAACTGTGTCCCTCCCAGGGGCTGCAGCGGCCCCCACGGAGCCGGCCTTCAGTACAAACCCGCGGGACCGAGTCAGGGACCACCCAAGGGGCTTCCAGCACCAAGCCTGTCCCCATCGGGGTGCCCCTTAGAGGGTGCCGGGGCTAAGCCAATTCCCAGAGGCCCCCCGAGTTTGCACGGCCCCTGTCCGCTTCCCCGGTGTCCAGGAGGGCGCCGGCGCCTTACCATGTAGATGAAAATGTCGTTCTCAGCACCCAGGCCATGGCCCCATGCCAACTTCCCGAACAGCTCCTTCCGAAACTCCCACTTGAGCAGGATGGCACAGCGCAGGAAGGTGAGCTTTGTATTCTGTGGGCGGCATGCGGGGAGAGGCGGGTCTCAGCCCCCCATCATCAGTGCCCCCCTGGCCACACCCCAAGAGGGTGGCCTTCTGCAGCCATGCTGGCCCAGAGGCACTGGGGGTCCTGGGCCCAGCGAGGACCCCACTCAGGGCCCAGGCCAGGAGCCTGCCCAAGCCCTGGAGGGGGCTGCATCCATGGGGGCAAGGGTCGCCCCCACAGTAGTGTCTCACCCCCCACACCCCGTGGGTGTTCTGCTCTAATTCACAGGAAAACTCGAGAAGCCAGTGGTCACTCTGGCCTCCTTCCTGACCCTGGGGGATTCTCTCAAGGGCTGAGGGACAGGCACCCAGGGAAGGAACACTGGCCCCTCACTCACCAACACCCAACAGCCACAGCCTCTAGTCTAGAACTCCTTTAGAAAGTCTCTGTGCCCCTGTGATGGGCAGAACCGTGTCTGTCCAGGTAACCTTCAGCACCTCAGAATGTGACTGTCTGTGGATGGGGTCTCTACGGAGGTGATTAAGGACATGGGGTTCCTGGATGGCCCTAGGGGAATCTGACTGGCGTCCTTATGAGGAGGAGAAATCTGGACACACACACAAGGGGACGACCACGTGAAGACACGAGGAGGAAGACGCGGTCTACATGCCCAGGAGAGAGACCTCAGAGGGGACCAACCCTACCCCACCCGAAACCCAGCAGTGGCCTGAGCTGAGACAGGCCTGTTCCCAAGCGGGCCTCTCCCTGCCTTGCTGAGTTGAGGGGGGAGTGGCCCACCTGGTCTTCTCCAAAGCCCTCAGCTCCCTCCTAAGTCCACCTGCCAGGTGCTCACACCTCTGTCCACCAGGAGACTGTGCTCTCCTCTAGCACCTATGACGAGGCCCTGATCACAGCCCGGGCGGCCCTCCCCTTCCTCCGTCCATTCCTGCTGGCTCAGAGAATGGGCTGCCCTCCTTCACTGGGAGGCCCTTGGCCCCGGGCAGCTTATCCTAAGACTGCAGTTTCCAAGGCTTTCATAGTCCAGCCTCCCCCAGGCAGCCTCTCTGGCTTACCTTGACACTCTCCTCTGAACTCCTATGTGTACCCCTCCACCTCCCACCTGGCGACACCCCTGCCTTATCCTGGTCTCCCTCCACCCCCCTTTCACCCCTTCACTCCGCCACACGGGCACTCAGCAGCCGCCTGTTGCCAGGTCTGGGTGGGGGCTGGCGGTACAGACCCACAACCTGAGGCACACCCTCTCCCAGGCTTGAGGGCTTCCTAGCCCCGTCAGGCCACCAGCGAAGGGTCCGGAGGGCTGGCTCCTGGGTCTAATGGTCTGGGACATGGGCAGAAAGGAGGCATGGGACTGGAGGAAGCCCCTTTGTGAGAAGGAAGCAGTTTGCTGAGGGCTTGAGAGGGGCTGGGGAGGAGGTGGCCATGAGCAACAGGGCTGCAGGCAGGGCTGCCTGGGTAGGGGTGGGGGGCGCTGAGCCAAGTTATTAGATGATTGGAGGCACCACCCTGGATGGGCCCTCTCCTTTTGCCGGTGTGCACGTTTGGGCGCACGGCTGGGGGGCGCTCACCGTGACCACTTTGGGGCAGGAGTCCACCAGGTGAAAGAGCAGCGGCACCAGGGCCTGGAAGGCATAGCTCTTGAGCACCTGCCGATACTTCTTGCCGCCGCTGTAGATGACATCTCCGAACAGGGAGATGGCTCTGCCCCGAACCTGGGCCTGCTCCTGCGGGAGGTGGGGAGCCCTCAGCCACAAGCAGACCCCCACCCACCACGCTCCCTCTCTCACCTTCCTCTCTGGCCCCCAGGCTTGCTGCGGCCCAGATGGTGGACGGCTAACCAGGTGGCCTCCCAGCACTGACACTCCGGCCTGTCCCACCAGCGAGGGCTGCCTTCTCTCTGGCCAGCCCCGGCTCCTCGAGCCACCCCCTCCAGTGGCTGCAGCCCCCCCGACTGGATTGGCCATTTGTCCCCGGTTTCGCTCCTCGGTGGGCTCTCTGTGGGGCCTCGTCCGCGGCGGCCACATGTCCACTCCCGGGCACGCCGGGTGAGGGCTGGGGCGCAGGCCCTGCAGCCAGACCTGCCCCTTTCTAGCTCTGGCATCCCGGCCGGCCGGGGGCCCTTCGGGCTTCGGGCCGGGGTCGTGCTGGGGCCTCCCCCGCCTTACCCAGCCTCGCGGACCGCAGCTCCCGCGCCCCTCGCCGCCCGCCCACCGGGCCCTGAGGTCCCTCTCGGCCTCCGCCCCTCCTGCTCCTCCTGCCGTCCGCTGGCGGGCTGCACCCCAACTCCTGCACTACGGACCCCGCCCCGGCCCGCTGCCGCCCCCGTCCCCCAACCCCTGTGCCCCACCCCCACCCTCGGCCCCAGCCCTCCATGTGGAGAAGCACGTGGCTTGGGCAGCGCAGAGGCCTCCCAGAACCTTCCATCCTGCGGACCAGTTTTCCGCGGGGCTCCAGAGGACTTCACCCACAAGCCCCGGGGGTGGGGGTGGGAAGCAGCTCGGCTGCTCTGATTGGAGGGAAGAGCAGCTTCGGCTGCTCCGATTGGTTGGCTGGCAACTTCGGCTGCTCTCATTGGCTGTGCGCCGCCCCCGCCCTCACATCCTCGAATAGCGGCAGCAGGTGCTCAGCCATCTTGAGGCTGGTGGCGCCGACGCCCTGGGTGCCCAGGTGATGCAGGATGTCGCCCAGGATCTCCATCAGGCCCAGGAGGTCCTTGGGCTCGGGCTTCACGAAGCCGTCCAGCAGCCCGGCCAGCCGATTGCGGAGCAGCACCACCTGCGGGGTGGGGAGGAGACTCAGGCACTCCCCGGCCTGCCCTGCGCCCCCCCCCGGGACTGCCCGTCCGCCTTCTGCACCTGCTCCACCGGGCCGTCACCTCCGCGGCGCGGGCCGTGTCGGAGGCCGCCGCTCCCTGCCCACGCCGCCTCCCTGGTGCGCGCAGCAGGGGCCTCAGCCCCAGCCCTCGGCCTGCACTGTGGGGCGTGGACATGTTCTGGAAGGTCTGAAGGGCAGGTGGAGGAAGGACGTCCCCATCCAGCCAAGTGTGAGTCCTTCATGTGCCGGGTGGAGCAGGAACAGGCCACCTAGCTGGCCTGGCTGTCAGGTAGGGAGGCCAGAGTCCCAGCCCCCAGAGGCCCCTCCGGCCCTATGCAGTACAGCAGGGTTTCCCAAACATTCCCAGCCTCTCCTGCCTTGCCTGACTTGCCTCCCCCGTCCACCCCTTCCAGCTGGACCCGCGGTGGAGGCTCTTCTCAAATGTCTCCTCCTCCCTAAAGCCTTCCTGGCATAGGAGTGGGCAGCCCCTCCTCTCACCTTCTTGGGGTGCATCAGGATGCTGCTGAGGCCCTTCAGGCTCATGGCCCGCACCAGCTGGTTGGGGTTGTTCAGGCCCAGGCTCAGGAATTTGTCCATGGTTCTCCGAGATATGTACTGGGTGAGCTCTTGGCTGTTGAGAAACTGAGTAGGGTTGGCACAGTCAGCCGCCAGGGCAAATTGGCCTGTAGCATGAGATAGTAGGGTTAGGCATAAGGAGGCACTTCCAGGCAGCAAGCAGGTCTGACGCGGAAGGCAGAAGTTAGGATGCCCCTCTACTGGAGGGTACGAAAGCAAGTCCAATTCTCTGACCTTCTTAAGGGCCAGAGGACAGTGGTGAGGAGCAGGGGCAGGGCAGAGCCAAGGAGGGGCTGACCTCTGTGATGATGAGGATGGCCACGATGTTGTCCCGTTCCTCGGAGCTCTTCAGGGAGATGACTGCCTGCCCCAAGACAGCCTTGACCTCACAGTCGTAGTGGGCCATGGCCCTGTCAGACGAGAAGCAGACACAGGGGCCCCGAGGTCTTCATCCTTGGCCAGGAGATCCCCCCAAGCCCCCAACAGACCTTGCTCTCTCAGGGACATGGCCCAGGCAGCGGAGTCGAGAGCACAGGTCCCAGGACGGGGTACAGGAGCAGCCCCACAAGGGATGCTCTCTGGGGCCAGGTCCCCCAAGGCTTGCGCTCACCTAGCCAAGAGGGTCACTCCTTCTGTGTAGGTTTCCAAGTGCTCAAAGAGCTCCCAGCCTCTCAACAGCTTGAGGTAGGCAAACACCTCCCAGTAGTTGGTAGTCCAGAAGAGACCCTTCAGGGCCTCCAGGCAGGTCCTAGGGGCACGTGGGGTATTTAGAGGCGGCGAGTCAGGGCTCGGGGCCAGGTTCTCCACCCAGAACACAAGGTCCTCTTCTGCCTCTCTCTCCTGTCTGGGCCCAGGTGAGCTTCCATCTTCTGACTCTGCCTCAGGATCCCGGCTCCTGCTGGCTTTTGGTTGCTGTGCCCCCTGCTCCCCACCCTGGACTGCAAGCCTCCTGCTGGAGCTGGAGTTCATCCCTTTCTGGGTCCCCCGCGCTTAGCCCAGGGCCTGGTGCCCACCAGGGGTTCCACAGGTGTGTGTGGAAGGAACCAGAAAGAGGGCCTGGCTTGGGGTCCTGAGGGGGCTGGGCCCTGAGGCCCAGTCAGAAATCCCACCTGCAGGGGCTGAGGGGCTTCATTTCCAGGATGTCCTCCTGGTAGTCCGAGATGCCCTCCACCGCATCCAGCTCAAACAGGTAATGGAGCTGTGTCAGCAGGCCGACGAGGATCCCTGCGAAGGCCCAGTGCACCGTGGCCTTGTACTCCCGGGTGTACAGGAGCTCGTAAATGGTACCCAGGGCCTGCAGCGGGCAACAGAGCCGGGCTCGGATGGGCGACACCCTCGTGCAGCCAGCAGAGCCGCTGGGAGCTGAGCGGCTGGGGAGCAGCAATCGCGGCTCCCCCCGCCCACCCCCCCCCCCTCCCTCGGAACCCGCAGCCTCCCCCCGCGGCCCCCCCCCCCCCCCCCCCCCGCCCCCGGGCCCAGGCCCCTGCTGCCTACGCCTGGCTGGGGCTGGGAGTGTCCACTCTGGGGCTCAGCATCAAGAGTCCTTGGCTGCTTCTGCTGAGACCCTCTGCTGCCAGGTCACCCCAGCATCCCACGGGGCCCCTCAGTGACAATGCCATTGCCGGGGGGGAGGCACTGGGGGGGGACACAGTGGGGATGTGGTGCTGCTCACCAGCAAGGAGATGAGCTCAGCCTGCTGGCTGAGCCTGATGAGCTCCTTAGGGGGCCGCAGCTTCAGCTTCACATAGAGCAGGGTGAGGACCTTGCGGGCCAGCTGGGTATTGCTGGCCAGGGCCTTCCACAGGGGTAGGACCTGTCTGGGGAGGCAGGGAGCCCATTCCTGCCAGCTGGCTGGCCCCACGGGGTAGAGGGGCCGGTGGGACGTGACCCACAGGACTGCAGGATGACCTGTCAGCCGTGTGGAAGTGGAGATGCCCGGGCCCCTCGGGAATGGGGAGCCCTTCCCTCAGGGGGTCCAGGAGGCTGTGTCCTGATGGCCAGTCAGGTGGCGGCCCCTGCTCCAAGCCCAGAGCACAAGCTAGCTTTCCCTAATGTTGGTGCGCGCTCCCATGTTGCCTCAGTCCCTTGCTGAGTGACCTTCCCCAGCTTGCTTCCTCCCTGGGGACACGGGGCTCACCCCTCTGGCGGCCTACGAACAGCTGGACCGGGCAAAGTGGCACCGCATTGGGCATGTCTCCCTGGGGAAGGAGGGGCTCGTGGACCTGTACCCCTGGGAGACCTGCTCCCTGTCGAAGGGAGTGTGGCCCTGTGACAGGCTGGTGTTCCCCAAGATGCTCCCAGCGGCACCCTGGTCCCCAGCGCCTCTCAGACTTCAGAGTGCACACACACCACTCAGGGCTGCTCGGACTGGGGCTTCTCAGCAGCCTGGGGCCCCCGCATTTGTCCCGGGCTCCAGCCTCCTGCTGCTGGGCCCAGCTGACGTCCCCAGGTGCACTTGGAAACCTAACACTAGCCCCGAGCGGTGGTGGGGTGGACCGTGTGTGGGCCCGGGTCACCCAGCTGACCTTCGGGCCCCCTGCCGTTTGGCTTTTAAGGGCTATCTGAGTCTGAGGGACACTTCCATGCTGAAAGCCCCCTTCCTGGGACTGCAGGAGCCTCCGCCTTAACCCCTCAGCCTGGAACAGCTCCGGGGACCCCCGGCCTTGGTTCCAGGATCTGGGAAGGAGAGGAGAGTAGGGCAAGTGTCCTGCACACGGCTGCCTGCCCCGGAGCAGAGTCTGCCCAGGGAGAGTGTGTGGCCTGGGAGCGCCGACGACAGACGAGGCACAGGTATCTACCTCTGGGTTGTGGGTGCAGGTGACCTACCTCTCAGAGGGGTGACACAGGGACAGTATCACCTCGACTGTCTCCTCGGTGTACTGAGTCCCCAGCACTGTCACCACCTTCATCATGGTCTGCAGGATGCTCTTGAACACGACAGAGGGCAGCTCCTGAAACAGGCCCTGCAGGATCTCGGCCACCTGTGCATGGAAGGACAGCCAGGACAGAGCCTCACAGCAGCCCCCCCAAGCCCCGCCTCAGTGCCCTGCCAGGGCCAGAGTCCGTCGTGGCCTCCCCGGCCCACAACGAGGCATCTGCACGCATGCCGGACCCGTGGCTAGTGCTGCCTGCCACCACCATGTCTTCACCCCCCCTCCCCCCCGTCCCTGGGACCAGGAGGGTCGATGGGTCTGGCAGCCCCAAGAGACAAAACGTCTGCGTGGGCTGTGGACTAGGTCGGCCAGGCCAGACCCACGGCGATCAAACGCCCAGGGGGCCGGGGGTGGGCAGGGAACCCTCTCCTGCTGAGTAAGACTGAATGAGCAGGGCAGGGTGTCACTGTGATTGCTGTGGCAGGGCTCTGGGGCCTCGAGGAGGCTGGGCCCTGCTGGCGGCTGGGCTGTGCCATTTCGGGTAGCAGGGGCAGGGCTGTGTAGTGCTGTGGGCTAGGGGCGTACTCAGGGCCCACTGCCTCTGGGGTTCAGTGCTCTCTGTGACGAGGTGTGTGCCCCCACGGGCACACGGACCCCCTGGAGGCGTGGCCGGCGTGCTGCCCCCTGACTCCCACACGGGGCCGCAGACAGGGCCCGGCGCCCAGGGCGCACCTGCTCCGCCTTGATGCTGCGGTCCTCGAAGATCATCAGGAGCAGCTGCGAGGCCAGGTCGCACTGCAGACGGCTATGACTGCACAGCCCTCCCAGGAGGGCGAGGATGAGCTGTGTGTGCTGGGCCACGGTCAGGCTCCTGTTCAAGGCCTGTGCCAAGGGGTGGGGTTGAGGGGCCAGAGGGCCACCGGCCCCGCTCTGCAGCTGGGTAGGCTCTCCTGGGGTGGGCGCGGAGATGGGACCGGGGCGGCGGCGCTGCTCTTACTCAGGTGGGATGGATGCCAGGTGCGCAGACTTGCAGGGACCCCCAAAGGACCCCGCCTTTCCCCCTTCCCCCAACAGGCCCTGGGGTGTCCACCCCCTGACCCCGAGCTCGACTCGGTGGCTGGTACAGCCTGCCAACTGCGTCTGCTCTGGGCAGTTGCTCTGGGTGGTGATGGGAGCAAGCAGTTCTGTGCAGGGGCCAGGGGCCCCCACCTGCAGCCTGCAGCCAGGGACTGACTCGGGTACAAGGGTCCAGCCCCTGCTTCGGGAGGGGGTGCACTTCATGCTGCCACACTCCTCTGTGTGTCGGGCTGGGACCACCCCCCTCGGCTCACCCCTGCCCCATCTTGCTCCCCTCACTCCCCCGTCCTGAGCACCCAGCTTCGTCCTCGTAACTGCCCGTGCCAGGCTCTGTTTCCAGGGACCCCACCAGGACAGCAGGCTTCTGAGCACCCAGCTCTCCTGGAGGGGTTCCCGGGGACCGTCCGTCTGCGCCGAGCTGGCGAGGGATGGCGGCTCCCGTCTCAGCAGGCCTGCGCAGCCTGGGGGTCAGGCCCAGTGACCCTCGCTTAGAACGGCAGGGAAACCGAAGTGTGGAAGGGTTGAACGACCCCCCTGCCCCAGCTGTTGGGGGCGGAGCTCGGACTCGGGAACCCAAACCCTTGACTCCTAGTGCACCTTGAGGGGAGGGACCAGCCTGGGAAGGACGCACCCAGGGCAGGAAGGGCAGAGGCGGTGAGCGTGGGCCAGGCCCAGCAGACGCACTTGGCGCCCTCAGTGAGGAGCCACAGAGGAGAGGCCACAGGGGAGTGGGTGCCAAGAGGGCAGACGTCAGTGAGAGCCCTAGACTCTGACTCAGGGGGCCCTGCCGCACCTCCAGGTCACAGACGGCAGGGTGCAGTGTCCGTGGCCTCGCCCCACATGCCCTGCCCCCTGCATAGGCTGTAGAATGGGCGGGGGGCTGGGAGCAGCAGACGGGGGGGTGTTGCTCTGGGGCCGTGGGGGGTCCTGCCGCCCCACCCCGCTGCAGCTCTGACAGGCCCACCTTCACCAAGTTGTAGAACTTCATTTCTGACTCTCTGCGGGCCTTTGCTTCAAAGTTCTTCATTTTATTCAAATGCATGAATTGCTCCATGCTCCCTGTGGAGGGCACCTCATCAGGAGGCCTGGAGCTGCGATCCCCTGGGTCGGGGCGAGGGGTGCTCCCCACTCACCCTTCTGCTGGATCAGGAGCTGGAGGAGCAGGTAGATGCACTGGTGGGAGTGGCTCCGCGTCACGGGGTCCTTGTCCCGCCACAGCAGCGCCAGCAGGCCTATCTGGTGGCCCAGCAGGGAGGGTGTGGCCTCTTCCTGGGGAGGCCGGGCAGATTGAAGCCCGGCCTGGCATGCAGATGTCCTCACCCCGTGCATGGCCCTGCCGTCCAGCTGTCCGTCCATCCTGGGCCCAGCGTCTCACGGGCCAGGCCTCTGGGCGTTGGCCGGCACTCTTCCCTCGGCGGGAACGCCCTCCCTCTACCACCCAGTCTCCTTCGCCATCTTCCTTCAAATCTTTGCTCCCAGGCAGCCGTGCCATCAAGATCTCCCTGACCACCCTATCTGAACTGTAACCTCTGCCCCAGGATGGGGGGCACCGCAGGGCCTTCGTCTTGTCCCCCAGCACCGTGCCTAGCAGCCCGGACACTCGGTGAATACTGACTGTGGGAGTCAGGAGCGGGGGCTGGGCTGGGTCCAGCATGGAGGCAGAAGCACCCTGGGGGCTCCTTGCTCCTCCCTTCACTCGGGCCCGCCTGCCTGTCCCCCGCCACTGTGGGTGCTGGGTGTCGAGATCACTCACAGTGAGCGTCACGTAGTCCACCACGTACTTGAGGAGCGGGAAGATGGTCTGCACCACCCGCTTGCGCTCATGGCTCTTGTCTGACTGCAGCCAGGGCTCCATGTGCTGCGATGGGGGAGAGGCGAGCCCGAGAGCCCAGTCAGCCTCGTGGACCCACCCTCGGCACCCACCTGGACCCACCTGGCTTGGACGTGGCCGCTGGGGCTGAGTGACGGTGAGGTGACCATAGCCAGTCCCGCCCACCAGATGGTTCAGGCTTTTGTGTCCGGCCACCAGCCCAGCTCCCCCGGGTGAGGCCAGGTCTGGGACCGTGTGATCGAGAAAGCCCTGGGTCGGCCTCAGCTGCCTCGGGGGCTGCAGCAGCCGTGGAGGGCAGCAGAGGGAAGCCAGGAGCCCGCAGACCATCCCTGAGTCTGTTGCTCCCTGCCCTCAGGGGTGCCGGAAGCTGAGGTCAGTGGGTCACTTTGATCCTTGCAGGGTCCTTAGCTCTTCTGAAACACCCACCGCCGCCTTCGTGAGAGAGGACAGCCCCTGGAGCACTTGGGTCAGCGGCATGGGGCATACCTGCCAACCTGGCCCTCTTGCCCCTCCCCCCCCGAATACGAGGGACCGACGCTGAGTGGACCTTAGAGAGTCCAAGGCCAGGATCGAGGTGGGCAAGTGGGAGCCCTCTGTTCTGCACCCCATGCCACTCCAATCTCACCTGCAGGAGGAAGCACATCTCATCCATGCTCTTGTTCTCAGAGATGAAATTCTGGAGAAGCAGGTCCAGCGCCTGCATGGATTTCTTGTACAGCACCTAAGGGGACAGACCGCGACCTGGCGTCAGTCCACCGGGGTTGGCCTGCCAGCGCCATGGCCTCCGTGGCCGACACGCTCCCCATCTCTCCCCAGGGGTCCCAGGAACTGCCCCCGGCAAGGGCTTGGTCATTCCTCCCTGCGGGGCCTAGGGAGGTGATTGTAACGTCCATGCCCTGTGTGTCCACCCTGTGTCCCTGCTGAGGACAGACAGCACCCTCATGGCCGCCTGGTCTTTACATCACAACTCCTGTGGGGGTTAGACCTGTCCCCAAGACCCCAGAAGGGAGCCGAGTCCAGTGAGCCGCAGATGCTGTGGGAACTGAGGGAAAATGAAAACACAACAGGTCAAAATTGATCATCTCCACAGATACAGCAAAAGCATTTGACAAAGTCCAACATCCGTCCTGATCAACATGCCCCACAAACCAGAAACAGAAGAGAACCTTCCCAGCCTAACGAAAAGCATCTAAGGACCCACAAGAAACCACAGCAACAACACACCGGATGGTGAAGCTGAGTGCCTTCCCCGTCGGACCGGGCAAGATGAAGTCAGCGTGCTGCTGGAGGTTCTAGCATGTGCGGTAAGCTAAGGAGGCAGAGCAGGCATCCACACCGAAAAGAAAGAAGGAAACTACTCACAGAAGTCATGTGGAAAATCCTACAGAATCTATAGAAAGCTCCAAAAAGCTAATCAGTGGTTCAGCAGGGTTTCAGGAAGGTACAAGATCAATGTAACGGAAGTCAATTGTAGTCCTGTATACTAGCAATGAACAAGCGAAAATTAAAATTTTAAATATTACTGTCAATATCAGAAAAAAATACAAAATACACAGGAAAGAATCTGACACAAGACGTGCAAAACATTGTACACGGAAAACCGGGGAGCTTTTGAGGGGCTTAAAGACAACCGAAGTGAACAGAGAGGTACGTGGAGCTCCTCGATTATAAGACAAGATGATGTCAAAGTGTCAGTTTCCCCCAAATCGTTCTATAGATTCAATGTAATCTCAATCAAAATCACAGTGTGCCGACCTACTGATTCTGTAATTCACATGGAAACGCACAGAACACAGAAAAGTGGAAACAACTTTGAAAAAGATGAACCAAGTTGGAGAACTTCCACCACTTCAGAATGTACCTGAAGCTCCCCAGGGCAGGACAATGTGGCTTTAGCATAAACAGATTGATAGAGCTAGGGGTACCTGAGTGACGCAGGTGGTTAAGCATCTGACTCTTGGTTTTGGCTCCGGGCATGATCTCAGGGTCATGCAATCAAGCCCTACGTCGGGCTCAGCATGGACTCTGCGTAAGACTCTCTCTCCTGCTGCCCTCCCTTCCGCTCTCTCGCTTGCTTGCTCTCTTTAGCTCTCAAATAAATAAATCTTAAAAAACAAAAAACAGATCAATAGATCCGCGGAACAGAATAAAGAGGTGAGAAACAGAAGCAGACACACGATCAGCTGATTTTCCAGAGGTGTAAAGGTGATCCGGAAGAGAAGGGGTGGTCTTTTCAACCCGTAAGCTGGGACCTGGGTGGTCCTGGGACACCAGCAAGAAGCTAAGCTTCAGTCCGTACCATACACCACATAAAAGCTCAAAACGTCATGGACCTAAGAGTGAAACCTAGGAGACAAATCTTTGTCACCTTGGTTTAAAGAAAGAGTTCCTTGATACAACACCAAGAACACGATCCATGAAAGAAAAAATAGATAAATTGAACTTCCTCAAGATCAAGAACTTCCGCTTTTCAGAAAAGACTATTAAGACAATAAAAAGATAAGCCACTGATGGGAAGAAAGTATTTTCAAATCACCTGATAAAGGATTCACATTGCAACTATAATGAACTCTAGAAACTAATGACCAAACAAATAATGTAATTTAAAAACTAGGGATAAGGGCGCCTGGGTGGCTCAGTTGGTTAAGCAACTGCCTTCGGCTCAGGTCATGATCCTGGAGTCCCGGGATCGAGTCCCACATCGGGCTCCCTGCTCGGCAGGGAGTCTGCTTCTCCCTCTGACCCTCTTCCCTCTCGTGCTATCTATCTCTCACTCTCTCTCTCTCAAATAATAAATAAATAAAATCTTTAAAAAAAAAACAAAGCTAGGGATAAGATTTAACAGACACCTCACCAAGGAAGATATGAAGATGGTGAAAAGCACACGAAAAGATGCTCCACATCTTAGTCAGTAGAGAAATTAAATTTCAAGCCACCACCAGACACCACAACACACCCACTGGAATGGCCAGACTTGAGGACCGACTCCCATGGGTGTTGACGAGGACATGGAAGGACCCGGGCCTCCCGTCCGTGCTGGTGGGATACAAAGCAGCACAGCCCGGTGGCAAGGCAGTTTGGCAAGTTAAACATACAGCTACCTTATGACCCAGAAATCCCAGTCCTGGGCATTTACCCCAAAAATCAAAATCGAGTCTGTACAAACACCTGCATGCACAGCAGCAGTATTCGTAATAGTCGCAAACCGGAAGCAACAGGAAGCTTTTGGGGGTGATAAATATGCTCATCATCTTGATTTCAAGGCTAGTTTCACAAATAGAGGTTAAAATGTGTAAAATTGTATACTTTGAATGTGTGCCATTTTTTTTCTGTGGCAATTCTACTTCAGTTGTTGACTCTGTTAACCAAGCCCAGCTCCTGCCCAGGGTCACGTTCTGTGGCCTCACTTCTGAGGCCCTGGCCTGGGCTCCAATTAGATATTGGACTTGGGGACCAGGCACCCCCTCCCAGCGAGCGGCCAGCAGCTCGCTCAGGACTTGGCCTCCAAGCTTACGCCCCAGTGGCTGGCCGGTGCCCTGGCTGGCTGGTGTTCTAATTCAGCTGCTTTGGCACCAGAGTTCCCCAGAGGATCGGCAGAACCCCCTCGCAGCTAGCTGCACGGCGCTCCACTCCTCCCGGGATCCTCACCCTCTGAGCTCCCCCAGGAGTGCACCCCCGACTCCGGGCTCATGTCTGCTCCCTGGGAGCCAAGCCTGGGCACAGCTCACGTCCTTGCTGTGACTTGTCGCCACGCCCGTCTGCTATTTCTCATGACGGGGTTCCCGGGAGCAGGAGTGTGTGTGCCCTGTCGGTGCTGTTCTTAACACAACACTTGTGGGCTGGAAGTTTCACTGCCTGCTCTGCTTTGTTTTCATGGGACCGAAACTAAAGTCCTCAAAGAAAAATGATTCTTGGGGACTGTGTCACCCAGCCTCCTGTCAGTGCTCACTGGAAGGCAGGTCACTGGGACTCTGCTTCCCTGTGGATGGAGAGCAAGCTGGCCTGCACTTTGGGCACTCGGGACCTGCCTGGCTGCTGGCGTGTGGGTGGACGTGTGTCCTTGGGTCCCTGCCAGCCCCTGGGGGAACAACACGCTGGGCCTGACTGGTGGGGAAGCGTGTTTGTTAGGGCAGTGGAAGCTGACGGATAGGCGGTCAGAAGCAGCACACGTTTGGGGAGTGCTTTTGCGCCCTGGTCCCATCTGAACCACAGAACGTCAGCAGGCAGCATGGAGACCAGAGCCCTGCTGCAGGGACAGACATCAAGACTCAGGCTTTTTCAGAGTCAAGACAAGACTGTGGCAAAGCCAGGATGAAAGCCGGGCAGCCAGGGTTCTCTCCTGTGCTCCCCTCGCTCCCACATGTGGCAAGGGCTTGACAAACCAGCCCAGCACCCAGAACCCAGCACCCAGAGCCGGGAGAGTCCCAAGAACAGGCAGTCACCATGACATCTGGGGCCGAGTCCAGCGAAGGTAAGCAGCTCTTCAACTTCTCCATGGGTGGGAGCATGAATAGGCTCTGCAAGCAGGTCTGCAGGATCCTGGACTTGACCATGGGTTTGAGACTGGGCCGTAGTTTGCTAAAAGAAATACGAAGTTTCTGGACTTCTTCATAGAGCCCATGGTCCAGGAATGAGAGACCTGGCTGAAACAGATTCCCAGCTGGGAGAGGCTTTCACAACTTAAAATATGGAAGTGGATCTGGATTCCAGACAGGCCTTAGACTCTGGCTTGGTGGGAGGATTCTGTGAGGGAAAACAGAGCTCATTTGGACTGAGGGAGGCCATCCCAGTTCATTCGCTTGGGTTCAGTGACATTTATTTGTGAGAAAACGTAGGAATTATTCTGCAGGCAGTGTCAGCACTGTGAATGGGATCAGGGGTCAACCTGTGAAAAAGGTCAGGGCTCAGTGTGTGACCAGGGGCAGGACTCAGCGTGTGACTGAGGCCAGGATTTGGTGTGTGACCAGGTCGGGGATCAGTCTGTGTCAAGCTGACAACCTGTCTTGGGTAGGAAACAGAGCAAACCGGTCCCTGATGGTAGGCGGCTTGGCTTCAGCAGGGCCAGTGCCACCCACTGCGCCCCTGTCTCCTCACACATGGACTCCCACCGAATACACAAAGGACTTGACCTGTCTTCGTTCCTGGACCCCAAAGGAGAGTTACCTCAGTCCCACAATGACCAGTATGATCTTCTGCCGGAAGAGGGTGGCCAGGAAGTTGGGCTCCTTCTGGAGGATGCACTGGGGGGTCAGAGCAAGAGGTGCTTGGCGATAGCTCCCGGCCTGATTCACGCATGCTCCGTGTCCTGCTGGCCGCCCCTGTGATCAACGGCTGGCCGGTCCCCGTGGGAGTCGCTCACCAGGAGGCACTGGATAAGCTCTGGTATCTGAGAGAATTTATAGCTCTGGGTGCTGTTCTCTTGCTTGAGAGCTTTCATAAGCATGATGACCGCCGAGAGGAAGCTGGTTTTCAGGATATTGTCCTGTCCGTGCAGAGTCAGGGGAGGGTCAGCGGGCGGTCCCTGGCCCGCCACCACACAGCCCGCGTGCCCGCCCCATCAGAGGCTAGGCGGCCCCCGTGTGTGCATGCAGACACCCCGCACCCCTGCTGCCCGAGCTGGGGCAGGGCTCACGTAGCAGCTGCAGGAGAAGTAGTAGACCATCCTGGAGATGATGTTGTCCACCCAGGGCAGGATCTGCTCCCTGGCGTGCAGCGCCATCCGCCCGTAGCAGAGCAGGGAGGTGCAGCTGAGCCACCTCCAGTGCCTGTCGGGGTCCAGCTGCTGCAGAACGGAGCGTGTTAGCCCTGCGCGCTGGTGCCGGCCCCTCCCCCAGAAAGCCCTTGGCTCCCCTGCCCTCCAGCGGGAGTTGCTCCTTCTCCAGGCGGGCCAGGGCCCCTGAGTGTCTCCTGCGCGTCTGCTCTTCCCAGCAAGGGGCCGAGCACTAGCAAAGTAGAGGCGCTCAACGTAGACCCGCAGGGCAGGTGCCAGGTGAGGAAGCTGCAGTTGGGGCCAGCCCACATTTCCCGACCGTCAGACCCCACAGAGGCTCTGGATCGTACGTGGGGGGCCCCAGGGACCAGGCTCACAAGTGCCAGGCCACGGCAAGAACCAAGACAGTCTGAAAGCCACGCACCAGCCCCTCAGGGAGGTGGGCAGGACAGCGGTCACGTTTCCGACGAGCAGATGAGGCTCGAGCGCCCGCATGACATCTCCAGGCCCCCGGCCCCTCCCGCCCGCAGGCTGCCCTGTCTACCTGGCAGTCTGGGGACATGAAGGCGGTCCGCAGGAACCTGGTGCGGCCCAGGTGCTCCAGCACTGCCCAGACGGCCGGCAGGTGCGAGGAAGACACAATACCGATGGCAGTAGCGATGCCCTGCGGGCCGGAGGACCCCGAGAGTTGGTCCCCCCGCGGCCGTGCCGGGTGTGCTTGCTGCCTCCTGCCCACTCCTCCCGAGGGCCCTGCAAAGGCAGGCCTTGAAGGGCGTCAGGGCAGGATGGAGCCAGGACACGGCCGTGGGCTGCACCTGCGACCGGGCTGCCCCATGTGTCCCAGCGCAGCGCTGGGGGCTGGGGGCTGTGGGCGCCCGGGGGGCTGTGGGCCGTGGACCCACCTCCCGCTGGTTGGCTGACTGGTGGGACAGCTCCAGGAGGTCGGCCAGGTGCCTTCTCACCAGCTCCTCGTTGGCACTCTCTCTGAGGATCAGCCCGTAAATGTGGAAGAGGAAGGTCTGGGAGGAGGCAGGTTGGAGCAGGTGTTGGGCCCGCGGGCCAGGGACTGGGGCAGCCACCCCCTCTGGGTGAGGGGTGAAGGAAGCTGGGGAGCCTATCCTGAGCCCCCTCCCAAACTGCACGGCCCCTGCCCCAGGCTGCTGTGCCCACCATCTGTGTGAGACTGGAGGAGGCGCGGGGGGTCACCGCAGCCCCCCCAACCTTGCGTTGCTTCCTTGCTGGGCCTGGGGCACTGTCCATGTACCCAGAGCTTCGGACCATGACAGTCACTTGGGGGGTGGGGAGGGGCCTCAGCAGCCACATGCTCTGCCACACTCAGAGCCTCGTGGGGGTCTCAGAGCCCGCATAGGCACCCTGGGCAGCCCTGCGCAGGCACTGACCTTCTCCAAAGGCTGCTTGAGTTCCAGGTTCAAGGGTGCCAGGAGCTCCTGGATGCCAGTGTTAGCTACCTCCTTCCAGATGAGCTGCAGGCAGAACACAGGGCTTGGGCCCCACCCGACCCGTCCAGGGGAGCTGGACACCAAATCCATCAGGAACCCCCAAGGATGGTGGTCCCCTGTGGGTGAGCAGAGAAAACAAGCTACTCCCAAAAGGTAAGGAGAGATTTGGGGGTGCTACCTTCCAGCAACCCGCCAGGGGGCTCACTCAAAGTGTGATTCTGGCCATGCCTACTTCTGCTTGATCCCTGGCAACCCCCTACCTGTAGGACAGAGGCTGGTTAGCCCCTGATGGCCTGGCCCCACTGGCATCTCCTGAGAGTGCTCCCCAGCTCTCTCCTGCCACCATCTTGCTGGCCTCAGGGCCTTTGCACAGACTCTTCCCCACTGGCTGGATTTCCCCTCCACCCCACCTCTGAGCCAGGGTCCCCAAGCATGGCTTGGCCATCAGCCGGATTTCCAGCTGAGGTCTGTGTGTGCTTGGAGCTCTCTCCCTCTGTGGGCATCGGTCTTGCTGTTTATCCCCCTACTCAGTCCTGTCTGTCAGCCCCAAGCCCCCAGAGAATCTGGAGCAGGAATGTGGAGGACAGAGGCCGGGAGAGCCCCACCCGACCCGGGACCTCAGCCACCACTGGACAGAGGCCAGAGCATGCGTGGCATCAGGGAAGAGCAGGGCCTGGCCCCCCACAATTGTAGGAGGTCTGAGCTGGGAAGCCTCCTGTGCCCCACAGGTTGGGAGGTCCTCAGGCACAGAGGAGGGCCAGACACCACCTGTCCTCTACCGCCCCCTAGGCCTAGAGGAGGAGGCAGGCTGTGTCTGGCTCCATGTGGCTCCCAGGCCCACCCCTGGCTGCCAGGCACTGAGCACCAACTGGTAAGGTCTCTGTCCAACCTGCTCCTCTCCTTTGCCCCAACTCCTTCCTGCCTTCCGGCACCTTCTGCCACACGTCCCAGGAGGTCAGGGGCTTCAGGGACGCAGAAGCCAGTGGAAGCCAAGGGGCATGTGGGCCCCAGTGCGCCCTGAAGTGGCGGAGGGGGATGTCCTGCAGGGGCGAGCAGGTCTCGCAGAGTCCCACCTGGCTGTGCTCCTTGATGCAGTGGTGGATGGTGTCCAACACCACGTTCTTCTGCAAGACTGACATGGTCCTGATTTTGCCGAGGAGTGCTTCCTCCCAGAGCAGTCTGTCATTCAGGGACTCCTCCAAGATTGCCCTGTCTGGGTGAGCTGCAGACCACAGAGAAGCAGCCCAGTGCTGGGGGTGCCGAAGAGAAGCCTAGGCCTCCCAGGTCTGGCTCTGGCTGGGCCCCTAAGTCACGTGGCCCAAGCAACTTTGTCTGCAGTGCGTCTGCGTCTGCGGGGAAAGCGGTGAGAAAGCAGCAGGAGACTGAGAGCATGGAGCGCTGAGGGCAGGTGCCTTGCTGGGCGCTGGGACACAGCCCGGAGGCGCAGGTCAAAGGGGACACACCTCACGACAGGAGCACAGAACTCCAGCCCCAGAGAGCGGGGTCCCAAAGCTCATCATTTGTACTAAAAAATTAACCTAGGTCCCTACTGTACTTCTCACACCAAAATAAATAGCAGGCAGTTATGATATTGGAATTTCCAAAGGACCGTAAACGTACTGAGCAGACTGGGCTTTGTAACTCGAGAAATCCCAGAGTAGAGAAGGGCTCTCTCAACGTGACACAAAGACAAACAAAGGGAGACGAGTGTTAGGGTTAGCGCCACGGACCTGGGGCCCACGTGCTCGGCACAGCTGCCACGCAGGGACCGCAGAAGAGACACCTGCTGCGTGTACAACACAAGGTCAGTGGTACCACGGAAGAAACTCTCCTGGGTCAGGAGAGGGGTGGAGAGGAGAGAGACCCCGGTGGCCAGCAGAGAAATGAGAAGACGCACACCCACCGCTGATAAAAGAAAGGCAAAACCATCAGAAACAGCATTTCTGTGTCAGCGAGGCTCAGAGGCGCGGGAGCGAGGGGAGAGGCCGTTCTCCCACCAACAGGCTTCCTCGCAGACACAAAGTAGAGCCTGGGAGCTTTAAGATAACCGTGAGTCCAGGTTTCCAAACTGTCCGGCACCTGACAAAGATAATCGATACTTCTTTGATCAGGAAAAAGACGGGGGCGGGAAGCCAGCACCCCGCTGGGAATAAAAAAAATAAGTCAGGTCTGGGGTCAGGTGCAGTGTGGGCCCTGCACCACCGGTCACTCCCGCAGGTCAGGAGCCAGCGTCTCCCGTGCGCTCGGCCCTCCCGGCCACGGCACGCCCCACAGCCTCGGGCCTGCTGGTGTGTCCGAGCGTGTCCTGTTCGGGGACCCCCCACCCCAGCTGACACCCACAGCCAGGCCCAGGCTTGAGGCTGCTTGTTAGGCAGCTTCACTGGTGCCGCTGACCCGCTGACCCGCTGCCCGCTGGACCCATCCATCCATCCTTCATTTCTTCATTCATTCAGTCGAAGCTTGTTGAGAATCTACTACTTGCCAGGCACTGGAACCACAAACAAACCCAACACTCTCGAGGGGTCTGTGCCCCCAGAGCAGGCGGGAGACCACCCACCACTCCCTGCTGGGGCCGCGGGCAGGGCGGCACAGAGGGGGGACCCCAGGTGCCTCCTGCATCTGCTCCCGCATGGCTGTGACCCTGATCTTCTTGGGTGCAGGGCTGGCTGTGGCCCTTCACGGCGCCACAGGCGGGTGGGGAGAGCAGGGCTCCAAAGCCAGCGTCCCCTGCTTGGTAAGGCTCCAGAGGCCACGCCTTTCCAGAAGTTTCTGTCAGGTGCACATGGAGCTGTCCCCGCCCCCAGAAGACGTGAGACCCCGGCACCCTCTGTGCGCCCTGGGCACTGCGCCCACACCCTGCACAGAGCAGACACTCAAAATTGGGCACGGGGGACCTGAAACAAGGGCGCAGGGAAGGGGTGTGCTCTGAGCCTGGGGGGACAGAGAGCCGACCAGAAATAGCCCGGCGGGCCCTTGAAGGCCCTGGAGCCCCGCTGCCCACAGGCCCCTGCCTGCCCTGCTCACCGACACCCAGCTCCTCCTCCTCTGTGGGCGACAGGCGGTTGGATGTCCCCTGGGGACCGGGGGAGTCATCACTGGGTGCAGTCACCATGGACAACCGCACCGCCTGGGAGCACCGGTCGTGGGTGGGGGGCAGAGGGCAGGACCAGTCAGACCTGCTCAAGAGGGGCCAGACACAGTGGGGCCCCCCGCCTTGGTCAGTCACCCCAACCCCACCAGGGCCCCTGACCTCAGTAACCCCAACCCTCCCAGGACCCTGGACCTCCGTCAGTCACCCCAACCCTCCCAGGCACCCCCCACCTCAGTCAGTCACCCCAACTGTACCTGGGGCCCCACACTTCAGTCACCCCAACTCTCCCAGGACCCCTGACCTCCGTCAGTCACCCAACCCTCCCAGGCGCCCCCACCTCAGTCAGTCACCCCCAACGTACCTGGGGCCCTGAGGTCATGCAGCTCCAGGAGCTCTAGGGAACCTAGGGAAGGAGGGAAGGACGATGTTCCTACCTGGAGCTGGCATTCAAGGCCCTCCTGTCTTTACCAGGCCCCAGGCTCCCCTCCCTAGAGGCTCTGGGATTCCGTACCCTGAGTCCACCTGGCAGTGACCATGCTGGCTTCCCACCATCCATACAACCACAGCTCAAGAACGTGGCAGAGGTGCCAAAGGAGCTTCCCTGCCGTGGCATGGGCCTGGATGGAGGGGTCATGTGCTCTGAGAGGCTTGCGGTCCCATGGCAGCCTGGGCCCTCCTCTGCCCTCACCTCCTCCTGGACTGTCTATGCCCACCCACCCTTGCACCAGGCTCCCAGCATGAGGAGATGGCGAGGGGCCTGGTTCTGGGGCACCTTCTGGTTCTGAGGGCCTGGGACAGGCCAGATTCTGCATTTCTAAGAAGGCTCCAGGTGACCCTGATGCTGCCGGCTGGGCTCAGGGGCCGCCCGGGGGCCCCACAGATCCCTCTCTGGGCTGGACCCCGGTAGCGCTGCAGACGCCCGCAGGTGTACCTCCCTCAGGGCCCTGACCCGGGGGCTCTTCCTCTGGGAGAGGGCGCCTTTGAGAGCACCAGCCACCCTAGGGCTCTGGCATCCCTTGGACCCCTCCCACTCCCCCCACCTTCACTCCCAGGGACTCCCCAAAACTGTCCACTCACCCGCCACTGCCCCCGAAGGACCCTTACCCGTCTCCTGAGCCCTGGCCTCACTTCCCAGCCTCTGTTCCAGTCCTCCCGGAGAGCGGGGCCTCCGGTGCACTGTCCTGCGCTTCCCCACCACCCCCGGTCTGGTTCCCTCCCCTCTGCACCCCAAGGCCCCGATGTGTTACAGGGACCCATGAGTATGTGCCCGCCAGAGGACGCACCCGACGGTGAGCCAAGGAAAGCGCCCAGCCTCTCCCCAAGCAGTGGGGACCTGGGCCGTGAGCCTCTTACACCGGCTGGCACGGTGCCAGCGAAGATGTGGGCACCAGTCTGTACTCATGAGCCGGACCTGTGTCTCCCTGCTCCTTCCTTCTCGCCACCTTTCTGCCCTCACTCGACAGATGGCTGGGGTCCCTCTGCCCCGGGCCTGGAGGATGTGACAACTGACAAGCACAGCCCAGCCCTGCCCTCCGTCCCAGGGTCACCTACCGCCAGGCGTCCCCCAAATCCCAACATCGGACCCACCCTTCTCGCCCAGACCCTCCGGCACTCTGTCTCTTCAGGGGCCATGTCAGCTCCTTCCCTCCCCGTCCCAGGCTGAGATGTCCGTTCCCGCATGTGGGGCCCCCGCGACTCCTTCCCGACCCCAGCAGGCCCCACTCTTGCTCTGGCGTGGCTCATGGTGGTAGACTCCTGAAGGCGCCCCCAACACCCCATGCACAGGTGCTGGCCTCCACAAAGACTCTCATGACCTGCGCTCTGGCTATGGGCTCTGGATGGGAGGATGTTGATGTGTTTAGAGAAGACAGCTTTCCCTGGAGGTTGAACCCCCTTCTGCAAATTGGTCCCCAAAACTCTTTTCATGATTAAGACAAAGGCCACGGTCATCCATTCCAAGCCTGGGATGGGGCCAGGCTGCTGGCAGTGACGGTGGGAGCAAGCCTGGTGGGCTTCCTGGAGAAGGTGAGGTGAGACCCCAAAGGCAGAGAAGGGAACAGTAGACCCAAAGAGGTAACCAAATCCCAAAGAGAATACTTTGGCCAGAGAGGGCAGAGGTCAGCTGGGGAGGCAGCTGGGGGAGGGGAGAGCATGGGCTGGGCCCTCCTGCTCCCGCCACCACTACCAGATGCAGTGACCTCCTGGCTCCCTGCTGCCCGCACAGCCCTCCACGCCCTGGTCCCTCAACCTACGGGCCCTCTGCTCTGGCCCCCATCCGCCCCTGCGGCGGCCCCATGTGGGTCGGCTGCCTGGAGAGCCACTCAGGTATGCTGCAAGTCAGCTCGGAAATGAGCGTCAGGCTCATCCAAGAAATCTTGTATGACAGATGTTCACCCGTAAACATTGTTTAAATGTTATCAAAGACAACGGCCCCCGAGAGGGGGGGTCTCTGCCAAGACCCCCAGAGTGCACACTAAATTGACTGAGAACCTCACTTCTGGGAATTTAATCTACGTAAGGACTATTTCATGGTGGGGGAGACTGCTTAGGATCCCACATGCAGTAACAAAGTCCCAGGATTCTCATGTAAAATCAGAAGTGGTCTCGGGTGCAAGGTTCGGGGGGCTTTGTCTGCGGCGAGCCCGGCCGAGACCCTTACCAGAGATGGAATGTCCATTGAAAACAAAGATGGTGAGGGGTTAGAACAAAGGTAAGGACAAGACAGGTCAGTGGACACTACCTGGGGCCCTGGGGGGGCAGGGCCGGCTCCGGAGCGGGGGAGCTGCATGGGCAGGGGACGCTGCCCAGACCCGAGGTCCAGGGAGCCTGAGGCGAAAACAGGGAGGGTCAGGCCTCTGAGCGGCCAGTGTCGGCGGGGAGGCTCCCGGGGGTAGAGGACAGGATGCTCTGGGCAACCAGGGCGTCCTGCAGTCCAGGACATACGAGTTCATAGGGTCGGGAGCAAAGCCAGGCTGAGGGGACCCCGAGGGGCCTCCCCGCCCTGCCCTGCTGGCCCAGGGAGATCAAGCAGCCTGGCTTCCCTCCGTGTCATCTGGAGGTGAGCAGAGGCCCCGTGACTTCGGGGTCAATAATGCCCATGGTTGTGAGCAAGGTGGGCCGGGAGGCGGAGGGGGTTGCCCTGCTGAGCTGGGGAGCACCCAGAAAGGACAGTGAGGGTGGGCCCAGGCGGGGATTTACCACTGCTCGGCTGGGGCTTGGGTGGGGGCGGGTACCTCTGAGAGACACCGCTGTGAGTCAAGAGTCCCTGTCCCCAGGGCTCACTGGGGGCTCGTCTCCTGAGGAAGTGAGTCCAGGAACCAAGGTTCGGGTTCCAGCTGGCCATCCCCCAACAGCCAGCAGGCCTGAGAATTCCGTCCTCCAACCGACACTGCGGGCAGTTAGGGCCTTCCCCATGCACGAGGCCGGGAGTTTGGTTCTCTGAGGCCTAGAGGGACCCCAGGCTGGACGCTGACTCAGACAGGCCCTGGGACTGTGGTGCCACCCTGGCTCGTGGCAGCCATCCCAGAAGGCAGGACCTGCACCATCCTAGGTGGCCTCCCTCTGGCTGCCGGTCAGGCCAGGCTCCAGGAGCTCCTCTTTGGAGAGACCTGGGTTTGCACCTGCCAAGCCCAGTGAAGACCCTTGGGGGAGCATGTCCCCCACACCATCATGCGGGTGCTGCCTGCCTGAGTTCATTCCTAGGTTTGGGCTTCCTGGGTCGCCGGGTCATGTGTCTCTGACCCAGGGTGGCTATGCTCTCAGCTCCCACAGCCCCGGGGGGCCGTCCCCTCCAAAGCCTGGAGAATATATAATGGATCCAGACTTGAGCTACCTGCCCAAAGGCATATTCAGTGACATCCTCCCCTTCACGCACACCACGACCACGACCAGAGGGCACTCGGGGCCCGAGCTGAACCACCTGCCCCTGGGAGGGGCCTCTGAGAAAACTGAGCCCCTTCCTGGTGTGTGCTCCCCAAGGGACCCTTCTCCCGCCTCACCGCCCCCAGGGCAGCTCAGTGACGGAAAGCCACCTCCAGCCCCAGCAGACCAGTGGTCCCCTCCACGTGGGGCCTCCGGCTGACCCCTTACCCGGGACCCCCTCCACCAGCGGGCTGCCACTTCAGGGTAAAGCAAGTTGCCCAGTGGCGGTTCTGAGCAGAAGTGGGGAGGAGCTGCGGCCCTGGGAACCAGTGGATCCCCCGCAGCCAAGGGGCTTAGTGCCCCCAGGCCCTGTGCTCAGCGGGCATGCCCCCCTCCCAAGGCTGGCAGCATGGCAGGGGGGCTGGGGGAAGGGGTCCTGCACCCTGACAGCCCTTCCCCAGGCCCTCAGCCCAGCCTGGAGGGGGCTTCCCGGAGGAGGAAGAGAGGGGAGCTGGGGGAAACTGAGGCATGACTGCAGTTGGACAAGGGGGCTTCGGGGCAGGCAGTGTCCCGTGTCCCCAGGAGCTGGCAGAGGGCCTAGCAGGAGACCAAGGCTCAGGGGACCCTGGGGGCGGAGCTGGCAAGGTCTGTCATAGCTGGGGTCAGAAGTCAAGCATTGACCAGGACTCGAAGGGCGATTTCTAGACAGGAGAGTGCGCGTGCCAGTGGTGCAGCCATTGGCCTGGGGTTGGTGACCGAAGATGTGAGGAAGCAAGAGACGGCCCTCAACCCCGGCGTGGGCACGGAGTCAGGTGCAGCCTGGGAAGGCTTCTTGGAGGACGCAGAGAGGGGCAGAGGACCCTGGGTGCTCTTGGGGGGACCATCGTGAGACGAGGGGCAGGGTGGGCACACAGAAGTGGGGCATCATGGGGGGGCTAACGGTGCAGCAGTGGGGAGCGGGGGAGGGGAACAGGCTGGGGTGGGGAGAAGGACTCCCAGCTGGAGCCGTGAGGCTTTGTGGAGGCTGCTCAGCGGCGGTGGGGGTGGGGGGGTGGGAGGTGGAATCAGGTTCCTGGTGTGGGGAGGGGTGCGGGGTGAACAGGACAGGACAAGCAGGCTGAGGGGTGGGGACAGCCCTGTTCCGGCCAAGGTCACGGTACTTGTGAGTGACCACGAGCTACTGCAGGCGGACAGCCAGGGGCAGAGGGATCTGGACGGGGAGGT